TGCACGTATATCCCTTAAGTCCTGTAGATATATCCCTTAAGTTCTGTACATATATCCCTTAAGTCCTGCACGTATATCCCTTAAGTCCTGTAGATATATCCCTTAAGTTCTGTACATATATCCCTTAAGTCCTGCACGTATATCCCTTAAGTCCTGCACGTATTTCCCTTAAGTCCTGTACGTATATCCCTTAAGTCCTGCACGTATATCCCTTAAGTCCTGCACGTATTTTCCTTAAGTCCTGAAGGCATATCCATTAAGTTCTGTACGTATATCCCTTAAGTCCTGTATGCATATCCCTTAAGCCCTGCACGTATATCCTTTAAGTCCTGCACGTATTTCCCTTAAGTCCTGAAGGTTTATCCCTTAAGTCCTGTACGTATATCCCTTAAGTCCTGCACGTATATCCTTTAAGTCCTTCACGTATTTCCCTTAAGTCCTGAAGGTTTATCCCTTAAGTCCTGTACGTATATCCCTTAAGTCCTGCACGTATTTCCCTTAAGTTCTCTACGTGCAGTACATCCCTTCCCTCCTGCACACACAGCCTCGTCTACCTTAAGTTTATCGTGTTCGTCTATCTTGTCAGCATCGATCGTGAGTCACTTCCTTGTTACGTGTGTCTAGCTCGTACATTTCCTCAGGTATATTCGATCCTTCTAAAACTTAAAGTGAAAGTTGCATTTTGAAAGCCTGAAGATTAGTTAGGGGCAGTGCGGATATAGTACACTGTAGAATTGAACCTCCATTGTTACTAAGAAAGGTGCACACAAGGAGGCACTCAGCTATCTCACTTTTACAATTTTGTAAAGTTAGATACTCATTCACTTTTGGGTAAACTGAGGGTCCCCTGGGTGCGATCAAGTGACCCTAAGGGACGGCCGGCGAGGGTTGTATCCACTACTGCTAATATATATATATATATATATATATATATATATATATATATATATATATATATATATATATATATATATTATAGAAGTAATGAATATGGAATGAGGCTCATATATATTTTGAATATTCACTGTACTTATATATTGATGGGTTAATGTCTTAACCAATGTGGTAAAATAAGTGTGCCAATAACCATGGCCAATAGGAAGCTTATCAATACCACTGTAGCCAAGGGGTTAAGTGTTATTGTAATGTCCCCCCCCCCAAAAAAAAACTATCGTTCGCCAAGGGGTCGATGTGATTCGAGGCTTTCCGAGCAATGTAACTCGACCAGTTTCTGAACGGCTGGTAGTTCTCCGTCCGCGACCTTTGGGCATTAATGAGTTTATACGTTTTCGAACGATGTGAATTCTCCGAGGCTTCAGATGATATATTACCTGTATACGAACCGTAGTGGATGTCGTAAATGGACACAATGCTATGCCAGTCATCAAATGATCTTAAAATGAATAGAGCGAGGAACTATCAGGGAAACCTTGCAAGATGAGAAAGGTGCTATTATTGCCCTTCATAACGAGGGTACGTAACCCTGAGATAGCACCAGCAGTATCAAGATGGGTTGCGCCATCGTAACAATTGGTGCCACACTGAAACTTAAAACCAAATTTGCTTACAACCACAAATGTCATACTATAGGTGGACGGGGCTATCTATTCCTGCAAGTCACTTGATTTGAAACCTTATTTTGGTCTCAAACAAATGCAATTTACATATCAGTAACATGCCAGATCCCATGGAGACCGATATATTGTATATTGCTGTAGCTGTTCACTCTAATATCAAGTCCTATTTGCTTATTCACTCTCCATAAATCAGACATATCGTGAACAACATGAGTAGGCATATTGTCAAACTCAGTATGAATGAAACCCCGTTACTACAACGACGTAATGGTGAAATGTCCGTTTTGAGGTCTGTCTCAGTCTTAGTTGTCATTTTCCGAAACACTTCCATTTAATGTATATTTCAGTGTTATTGTAATCATCGGTCAGTGGCTTGTTTACATAACCCTTGCTTCTTCCTCGCGCGATACATATATTAATATAGCTTAATGGATTTCTTGTTATATTGAAGTATTTAATATGCTATACAAGGAAGACCACCCTCCCCCAATCCTATCTTTAGCTGTTGCTGATATGGCCAGCAGGTGTACCAACCAATAATGATGCCCTGGGGATAATACCAAAGTATTTCGTCTAGAGTTTCAAATTGTAGCGACGGAAAATGTAACAATACTTTTTTGGGGGAGCCGCAGTTCAGCAATAGGTTATAACAGTACGTTCATGAGTCATTCAGTCAGACAGTTACTCAGTCCATCAGTCAGTTACTGTCAGTCATATATTTCATCAGTTGGTTACTCAGTCCATCAGTTACCGACCAGACCACCAGTCAATCAGTCAGTCAAGTCACCTCTTTGTCCAACACTCATGCATTTTGTCAATTACTCAATCCGTCACTCAGTCAATCCGTCAGCTACTCGCTCAATCACAGATAATATCCAAAGAGGGTAACTCAGTACCAAGAACATAAGACCATCTTTGGTAGCAGCAGGAAAACCTCGGTAGCAGGAACGTAAAAAAGTGTTTGGCAGAGTAGAACAAGTGAACAACTAGGTACAGTACAAGAGAGAGAGAGAGAGAGAGAGCACGCGCCACACACACACAGCTCCATGTTCTCTGATATACTCTCTCATTTCTGGGTAACTATGGCAGCCAACTTCTTTACTAATCACAAAGCTAGCGTATGAAGGTGCATCCAACAATTTTGTGAAGTTTCTATTTCCGAAATAAGTCTCTAAAGGCTAATATTTGTAAAACTAGTTGCACCCGCCATCGCTGCCATGTTGTTTACATCAGTTGCCTCGGTCGTTCAGAGCCGATCTTTTTTGCTGACTTTTCTCTATTTATCTACCTTTTCCATTTTTCCTTTACCCCCTTCTACTCTGGTATTGCCTCAGCCTCTGCAGGACCTGCAGGGAGAACTCAACCCTGGGCGAATTAACATCGTTCAGCCTCCCATCGTTTGACATACCTCCCCCACACTCCTCCCAGACACAATAACGGACGACGCTGGCGCCGCACACACTCCTCCTGACCCCACTAAAGCGGATTAACTACAGTGGAGCGACGCAAACTCAAGCTGCCACAGTCGATTGTGAGCTGCACTCATGGCCAGTGATAGTGGCAGTGTAGCATCCGCCAGTGAGCACCATAATGAGAGCCACGCACCCTCCTCATACTGCAATGTGTGTGGACTTACTACTAAGAAAAGATCTTACACATACTGTACTGAGGAACATTGTCCTAACCTCTGCCACATACGTAGTAAGCATCCTGACCAGGAGTTTTGTTGCTCTCAGATAGAGAATTTAAGGACTCTTGGTGGCCTTACTCATCCAGTGGAGTACGATATACCAACAAACCAGCCCGTGACACAGGTACAGGACCACAACCTCCCTGATCTGTCACAAGGGCACTCATCTCTCTCTGAAAATACAGAGGATCTCCTAGCTAGAATCAGAGACCCTGACTGGGTTCTCACAGACAATTAATGAACTGACATCCCAGAAGCCACCCTTAATAAGCTCAACAGGCTCATAACCGAGGCACGACAGCCAGTTCCAAACTACTCCCCACCTGGCCTGATCCACCGACAGTTACCTTCCTGGGTACACTCTCTTGGAAGGACGTCCCCCTACTGGGCATCGCTGATTCCGACCCGGCCTTAGAGTCTGACTCCATCCCAACCATTTCCCAAGCTCACAACGCGGCTGTGTCCCCGCCCCTGCCCCAAGAAGGTCTTTACACATCATGGCTCTACCCAGGACCATTCGTCTACCTCACGACCCTCCAGGTCACCCCCACCGGAACCATTTAGCGTTCCTCTCGGCCAACGTGAGGGGCCTCCGGACCAACATTGGTGATCTCAGGCACAATTTTGCCCAAGAAAAATGCGGACATCATTGTAGTTACGGAGACGCTGCTGGAGCCGACATTCGGAAAAACGGCGGTCTACAGCCAATGGGTCAGGAGAGATCGTCAAGGGATGGCGGGTCGAGGTGTGGCTGTCTGTTTCAAGAAAACACTTCTGGTGCAGGTCCTGGAAACTGACATCCCAGCGTAGATGGAAGCATTTTTCTTTCCCGTTGTCCTCGTCGGTGGCGCTGCTCTCCAGCTCTGTGGTCTTTTTCCGCCCCCAATGGCAAGGATGCGCATCTCTCGACTTTCTGACGGAGTACCTGGATGACCTCCTTACCCGGTACAAATGTCGACACATCATGATCGCGGGGACTTGAATTATTATCTCGTCCAGGACTCCTTTGACAATCCCCTGGCTGTTCAGGGTCTGGTGGATCACGTAGATTTTCCCACCCACATTCACGGAGGGATGCTGGACCCCGTCATCTTTGACCTCCAGGATGATTCCGTCCAATGCCACCAGCTGGGACAGGTAGGTAGTTCAGATCACTACGCGGTCCTGTCCCAGGTGATGTTGGGTGTGGCGCATGATGAGGCCACCACTCGAACCATTTGGCTATGGGACCGTGCTAACTGGCCCTCCATGCGCCGTGATCTGCACAACACGGACTGGGATAATCTTCTTTTTGGTGGTGTAGGTCACAAGGCTAAGACCCTCACTACTCGACTCTTGGATCTACGGTAGCTTTACGTACCACATAGCCAGTACGTCACCAAACCCACGGACCAGCCTTGGTTTGGTTACCGTTGACGGCTTGCTGCAGAGACCAAGTATAAGGCGTGGGTGAGGTACAAAAAGAACTCGACCCGACACAACAAATACGCATGCCGAGCGTCCTGCAGGCACATGGCTGCCACCAGTAAGTGGATCACAACGAGGTGGGAGGCCGATATGAGTCGCAAGCTGACTGATGTGGGGGTGGGCTCCATGATGTGGTGGGTGCTAGTGAAGGAGAAGCAGGGGATTTGCCAACAAGAGTCAATTTCTCCTCTCACCAAACCGGACGGATCTTTAGCTACCAGCAGCAGGGACAAGGAGGAGCTGTTGGTAGAGACTTCAGCCCTAAAATGACTGTCGCGGAACCCAATAGAACCTCGCCACTTCTACAACTAGAGTGTGAGGAACAGCTGACCACAGTGGCGGTAACTCAGAAAAAACTCAAACGTATAATTCGAAAAGTTAATGTTAGAAAAGCAGTTGGCCTTGACAACATCAGCCTGTATGTCTTACGACACTGTGCCAACGAGCTAGTTGGTCCTCTTTCGACTGTCTTCAACACCTACCTGTTGGAAAACACGTGGCCCATTGTGTGAAAGCAGGCCAGAGTGGTACCTGTCCATAAAAAGCGGTCGAAGTCGGACCCAGAAAACTGCCGTCCCATATCACCGTTATCTGTGGTCAACAAGATATTTGAGAAGCTAGTCACGGAGGAAGTGAGTCGCCACTTTGATCACCACAATCTGCTGTCTAACCGGCAGTCTGGTTTCACCTCAGACCTGCTGCTGCTGCTCTCCAGAGACTGGCAGGATGCGCTGGACAATGATCTGGACACCCTCGTGATTTCCCTCGAGACAGCGGGGGACTTCGACCGGGTGTGGCACAGGGGTTTCCTGGAGAAGCTTCGAGCGAAGGGAATCGAGGGGAACCACCTCCTGCTTCTAGCAGACTAACTGCGAGGGAAAGACCCTCAGGGTTGTCGTCAACGGTCAGGCCTTCCGAAACTTTCCAATGGAGGCGTCTGTTCCTCAGGTATCTGTTTTGGGACCGATTTTATGGAACGTTCATATTGACGACCTCCTGCAACATATGCCAGTGGTATCAGGCTACACTGATGACTGCACCCTATCGTACTCTTATCCCCGCCAGGATAGCCAGCAAGCAGTCCAGAGAGTAAATCAGTAGCTGGAGCTGATCCGTGGATGGGGTACACGTTGGCAGGTGAATTTTGCCCTTCAGAAAGCACAAGCGATGGTGATATCCCGCTCCCCGGCACGGCCGCCCACCCCGTGAAGGATAGAATCCTTTTTGGAGAGGTGCCTCTGCCACTCCAAGATTACATGCCAATCCTCGGAGTGGACTTTGACAAACATTTGAGGTTCGACAAACACTTCCAACAACTGCGCCCGCAAGGCCTCACTCGGGTCTCCGCCCTGAGAAGGTGACTAGATTCCTTGACCACAATGGATCCTGACACTCTATAAGGCTCAGATAAAGCCTTCCCACATTGGAAAACTGGACGAGATACAGAGGCAAGCCCTGCAACTGATGAATTCTGCCTCACACCCTCCCCCATGACATCGTCACCACCGTGGATTCTCTGGAGCACCGGAGAGATGTGGCGGCCCTGACGGTGTTCCACAAGGCCCAGGTCCAAGAGGTGCCTCAACTGGCGGGACTTGGGCTGCCCGTACGAGCTGCAGAGAGGAGCACGACAACTGTGCTGTCGAGCGTCCTGCTGGTGGAGGTGCCGAGGTCTCGAGCTAGTCAGCATCAGAGGGCCTTCATGGCCAAAGTTTCGCGACTGTCGAACCTCCTTACGGCGGCTGTACCGGACGTTGGGAAGATGACGACCCAAGAGATGGCCGCTCATAGATGGCGAGCGACACTTCCAACTCCGCTGATTCTTCTACGAACCTGACTTACTCGTCTGTCCACAGCACGTCAATAAATGAGGTCTACAATTTTTACTGTGCATTACTATGTAATTTTTCTTAAATATTATTTGCTATGTCTACATTTTTATATTTTTAGTGGCTTTAATGTCCAATGTCCTTAACTATGTACTGAACTGTATGATAATTTATTGTAACACTCCTGGGGAAGTCTTTTCAAATGGATAGTTTTTACCTAAATTGTTCTTCACACAAGTTTATCATGTGATTAGGCTAAAACCTTGTCAGTGATTCTCATGTATCAACTGTTTAAAAAAATGTAAACGTGTTTGATATTAGAGCAACTCGGTACTAGGAACGTAAAAGAACATTTGATTTTAGAAGAACTCGGTACCAGGAACATATGGACGTGTTTGGTATGGAGTTAAAGTGTAGGTCTTAGCTTGAAATCATCCTCTGGTCGTCTCAAATGTTTACATATATAGGTTCGGGTAGGTAGAGTAGTACAGGGGTCACAATGGTACTTACAGACTGAGAAGTTACATGTGAGGTAGGATGGTCGGAGCGGTTGAGGGTATACATGTGGGTCATCATATCCACTTCTAACTAAAATAGAAACATTGAAGGGAACCAGACTGGACGCTGTCGTGTTGGTCAGTGAACACCAACTGTTTTTTAATCCAACTGAAAGTCTTCCCCTAAAAAAACAAAACATTTTCGTCTTTTAACTTTCCAAACTCAATTCTCTTGGCACCTCAACTTGAATAAAGATTTTATTCTTATTTATATTTTTCCTCTCTCTTTCTCTCTCTCTCTCTAGATTCCGCGCTTTTTTCTTTAAGCTTCCTCTTCTCGTTTGATCTCTCGCAGGTCTCCGAGTTCTTCCCCGTAGTCTTCCCAGTCCAATTACCACCTCTGAAGAGTGTGTTCTTTGCACCTTTTCTTCTAGATGTTGTGAGCGGTGAGCTGACTGCTTCCTCCACACTCTCACCCTTCTTGTGTCTGCTGAGCCAACTTTAACCTCCCATCAATTGTTTTGTGAAGCGATAGACGATGGAGAGTGAGGAAGATAGGAAAGGAGAGGGAGTCGTTTACAATTACTATTTTCTCTTGCAGTATTTTGGGTAAGAAATGCCTTATGTAGGGAAGAAGAGTCATTATCATTATTTTCTTTCGTAATGATCGTTTTTGAAAAAGTAAAAAGCTCTTGGAATCAGGAACACGTGAACACCTTCGCCTACTTCGTCATCGTTGATGCCGGGAAATCCCACCCAGGTGGCGTTTCATTAACTTGGTGGTGCTCAAGGCGGCTTTTTCCTGGAGTTTGTTTCTGCAGCAGCGAGCTCGCCTCTTCAAGATTATTTGTTGCAGATTTTTTCGCGAATTGCAATTTTCCTGCCGAGGTTGAAATAAGACTGTGGCAGAAGTATTCCTCAACACCTGCGGCCACGTCTCCACCAGGTATTATTCCACTATGACTTTCCACGCCGAAACAAGTACCTGGTTATTTATTTTCTGACTGTATATATATATATATATATATATATATATATATATATATATATATATATATATATATATATATATATATATATATATATATATATATATATATATATATATATATATGACAACACATTCGTGAATTTTCTTTTTTACGGGTGAAAGTAGCATCTGGTATAGAGGAGATATTTATTCCTCAGACAGGTAAACCTGTTTTAGCCATAACTTCAGCAAAGAGAGTCATCGTCACCATTACGCTATGAGAATTATACAGTATTTGTATGTGTATGCGCATGTGCGTGCGTGTGTTGGGCAGGCTTGATTCTAATTTCTCTCAAACTTTCAGATTAAATTTCGTCCTTGAGCTGAAGACTTCCTGCACGAACTAAGTCCCTGAGTCTGCTTGTGTTTGGTCGAGATCTCTCACAGATTAAGGTCTCGGGGTCAGATGTCACCGAGTTGGCTGAAGCTGTTGCTATAAACTTTCAGATCAGATGTTGGGCTTTTGATGTAGACTTAGCGACTAATATTGCTGACATTTCCTAACTTGCAGAGACGGAGAGAAAATAATTATAGTTCTACGAAATAATTATATTACTTATCAATAGATTTTTTTTCCATTTGATAAATAGTCATTATAGAACAAGGGGCGACAGAGATAACTAGTGGTTATAAGTTGAGTTTATGAGGACTGCGTGGCGTGAGTCAGAGGCGTGGCTAGAAATGATCTTAGTGTGGGTCAGCACACCAGGATAAAGCGTTCATAAATCTAACTACTAAAGATTTAAGAAATTATAATTAATTAAAATCATCAATGATTACATATTTTCCTAACCTGCCATTAAATATATATATAGCTGTTAATGAGTATGTTGTATTTCCTTGTGTATGAACCTTTGTCCTGCGTGGCAGTGAGAAGTGATACCACCCTCAGTGTCAAGACCTGATTGAATTACTCAGAATAGGCAAACTGTACTACAAGCTTTGTCAATAATTTTTTTAAACTAAACTAAGATAAAAACTACATGAACCATAGACCCTCCCCCCGATGACACATGGCGCTAACCGTCACCACACACCAGGGGGGCGGGGGTTAGTGTGGTCATAATATTTCCATCTGAACCCTCGCAACAGATGGATCTAAAACTACATATGAATCAACGAACATTCAATGATAGGGTAGTAGCTCTTGTTACACTAAGGAGGACCTAGTAGAAGTTTATACATATATAATATAATAATATACGAGTTAGTAATACGTATATGTTTAGGTAAATTAATGAGGTTTGTTACTGATTAAACAGTGATACAGTTTGAATCCACACATATTACCGTGACTGTGATGGCTGGTATAATATAGAACAATAACCAATTACTAATTAGGCTTACTTATGAAGTATCATAATACCCTATGGCCTATGGTAATGACTAATAAGAATAATATTAAATGATAATATGAACACTGACAACAGCAACAATAAATAGTAATAATAATAATAATAATAATAATAATAATAATAATAATAATAATAATAATAATAATAATAATAATAATAATAATAATAATAATAATAATAATAACAATAACAATAACAATAACAACAATAATAATAACAATAATAATAATAATAATTAAAAACACCTTCATAAGCATCAGCAATAAAACATTATAATCATAATTACATAAACAATCTAGAGAAACTTCTATAGAGATAATGTAATCGCCCTTAAGGCAATCATGGATAAGGAGATCAAGATACGATGACTAGATAATATATTTCGGTCAAATCTGTCAAAGACAATTATTACAACATCAGTAAACAGTTGATATAACATTCCTTAACCTAGTGAACTTCGCACGATAATATAACTTGTGGGATATTAAGAGCATCCCTTAGCATAATGTAATTGACACAATAATGTGCTGGTAGTATCTCATATATGCACTAATGTTCCGAACACGGACTGACGTATTTTCGGGTCTTAGAGGAGTAGGGTGTTCCCTGTACGGCTTCAAAGCGTGTTCTGAGCCCTCCTAGCAGGGCGACGGGTGTATGGCATCTGGTTCATATTGACAGATAATCACATTCAGCGTCTTCACCAGAGAGAGAGAGAGAGTACATATGTACATCGGTTTACATATATATCCACACATCAGTATTATATATCATCATCCCATCTATCGTTAAACATATTTACATGTCTATAGTGTTTAGGTCTATCTACATAACAATAAATCTATCCATCCATCTTTTCTCTATTCTTGTATCAACAATTCTATCCTTTTAATATGTGTCAATCCACGTATCAGTGAATCTATCCATCTTCCCTCTCCAATCTCGTATTAATAAATTCATCTAATTTTGCTTCGATTATCCAACGGGGAAACTCCTATCCATCTTGACATCATCCACATCATCTACTCCACCTGTCTATCCATATCCATGACGCTGTTTCCCACCCAGAGGATAGGGAGAGATGGAGGGAGGTGGATGGAAGGGAGGAATGGGGTGAGAGGGGAAGGGGGGGAGGAATATCGGAGCTGACACATTATT